CTACAGTTACCCTGATACCAAAACCACACAAAGACCCAACCAAGAAAGAAAATTACAGGCCTATCTCACTCATGAATATCGACGCAAAAATTCTCAATAAAATACTGGCAAACCGAATCCAAGAACACATTAGAAAAATTATCCATTATGATCAAGTAGGCTTCATCCCAGAGATGCAGGGCTGGTTCAACAAACGCAAATCTATCAATGTAATCCACCATATAAATAAACTGAAAGAAAAAAACCATATGATCATTTCATTAGATGCTGAAAAAGCATTCGACAAAATTCAACACCCCTTTATGATAAAGGTCTTGGAGAGATTAGGGATACAAGGGTCATACCTAAATATAATAAAAGCTATTTACAGCAAGCCGTCGGCTAACATTAAATTAAATGGAGAAAAACTCAAAGCCATCCCACTAAGATCAGGAACACGACAAGGCTGTCCACTCTCTACATACCTCTTCAATATAGTGCTTGAAGTTCTAGCAATAGCAATAAGACAACATAATGGGATCAAGGGGATTCGTATCGGAAAAGAAGAAGTTAAGCTCTCGTTATTTGCAGATGATAATGATAGTATACATAAGCGACCCCAAAAACTCTACCAAAGAACTCCTACAGCTGATAAACACCTTTAGTAATGTGGCAGGATACAAGATCAACTCCAAAAAATCAGTGGCCTTCCTATACACTAAGGATAAGGAAACAGAGAGGGAAATTAGAGAAGCATCACCTTTCACGATAGCCACAAATAGCATAAAATATCTTGGGGTAACTCTGACCAAGGATGTGAAAGATCTATTTGACAAGAACTTTAAGGCATTGAAGAAAGAAATTGAGGAGGACACCAGAAAATGGAAAGATCTTCCTTGCTCCTGGATTGGGAGGATCAACATAGTAAAAATGGCAATTCTACCAAAAGCAATCTATAGATTCAATGCAATCCCCATCAAAATCCCATCAAAATTCTTCACAGATCTGGAGAAGACAATAATCAACTTTATATGGAAAAACAAAAAACCCAGGATAGCCAAAACAATCTTATACAACAAAGGAGCGTCTGGAGGCATTACCATCCCTGACTTCAAACTCTACTACAGAGCTACAGTATTGAAAACAGCTTGGTATTGGCATAAAAACAGAGAAGTCGACCAATGGAATCGAATAGAAGATCCTGCCATTAACCCACAAACCTATGAACACCTGATCTTCGATAAAGGAGCTAAAAGTATACAATGGAAAAAAGAGAGCATCTTCAACAAATTGTGCTGGCAAAACTGGATGTCAACATGTAGAAGAATGAAAATAGATCCATATCTATCACCATGCACAAAACTCAAGTCCAAATGGATTAAAGACCTCAATAGCAGTCCGAACACACTGAACCTGATAGAAGAGAAAGTGGGAAGTACTCTACAACACATGGGCACAGGAGACCACTTCTTACGTATAACCCCAGCTGCACAGACATTAAGGACCTCATTGAATAAATGGGACCTCCTGAGACTGAGAAGCTTCTGTAAAGCAAAGGACACTGTCACTGAGACAAAAAGACAACCCACTGACTGGGAGAAGATCTTTACCAACCTCGCAACTGACAAAGGTCTGATCTCCAAAATATATAAAGATCTCAAGAAACTAGACCGCAAAAGGCTAACCAACCCAATTATAAAATGGGGCTTTGAGCTGAACAGAGAATTCTCAACAGAAGAACTTCAGATGGCCAAAAGACACTTAAGGTCATGCTCGACTTTCTTAGCGATCAGGGAAATGCAAATCAAGACAACTTTAAGATACCATCTTACACCTGTCAGAATGGCTAAAATAAAAAACACCAATGATAGCCTGTGTAGGAGAGGTTGTGGAGAAAGGGGTACACTCATCCATTGCTGGTGGGAATGCAAACTTGTGCAACCACTTTGGAAAGCAGTGTGGCGGTTTCTCAGGAAATTCGGGATCAACTTACCCCTGGACCCAGCAATACCACTCTTGGGAATATACCCAAGAGAGGCCTTATCATACAACAAAAGTATATGCTCTACGATGTTCATTGCAGCATTGTTTGTGATAGCCAGAACCTGGAAACAACCTAGACGCCCTTCAATGGAAGAATGGATGAAGAAAGTATGGAATATATACATATTAGAGTACTACTCAGCAATAAAAAACAAGGACTTCTTGAATTTTGCATACAAATGGATGGAAATAGAAAACACTATCCTGAGTGAGGTAAGCCAGACCCAAAAGGAGGAACATGGGATGTACTCACTCATATTTGGTTTCTAGCCATAAACCAAGGACATTGAGCCTATAATTAGTGATCCTAGAGAAGCTAAATAAGGAGAACCCAAAGAAAAACATATAGGCATCCTCCTGAATATTAACCTTCATCAGGCGATGAAAGGAGACAGAGACAGAGACCCACAATGGAGCACCAGACTGAAATCTCAAGGTCCAAATCAGGAGCAGAAGGAGAGAGAGCATGAGCAAGGAACTCAGGACCGCGAGGGGTGCACCCACACACTGAGACAATGGGGATGTTCTACTGGGAACTCACCAAGACCAACTGGCCTGGGTCTGGAAAAGCCTGGGATAAAACCGGACTCAGTGAACATAGCAGACAATGAGGACTACTGAGAACTCAAGAACAATGGCAATGGGTTTCTGATCCTACTGCACGCACTGGCTTTGTGGGAGCCTATGCAGTTTGGATGCTCAACTTACTAGACCTGGATGGAGGTGGGGGTTCCTTGGACTTCCCACAGGACAGGGAACCCTGATTGCTTTTCGGGCTGGGGGGGGCGGGGACTTAATTGGGGGAGAGGGAGGGAAATGGGAGGCGGTGGCGGGGAAGAGACAGAAATCTTTAATAAATAAATAAATAAATAAAAATGCTGAAAGTCTTGGGACAGCTTTACACGGTCAGCACACTACCTGTCCCCAGTTTCCAGATGGGAGCAGAGCCATGAGCCCTTGGGACTTTGCCCAGGTTACACAGTAAGTGGCAATGAGTGTCTTTCCCCTTTTATCTCCTGCTCCCTCTAGCCCAGCATACGCCTGTTCTCCAGGGAAGACCTCAGATAGAGCAAACTGTCCATTCTCCCAGTGCTAACTGCCAAATATAATGCTAAGTTACAACTAGAACTTAGAAGATATAAAATTGAAATAAATTCACAAAAAGAAATGTTAAATAAGCTATAAATACACACAAATTTTAAAGTGAAGGAATTTCCTTCCCCAGACATCAAAATACACACACAAAAAAATCCACTCTCCTGAAGTAAATAGTTTAGCAGAAAAGTTAAGTTGGTGTGACTCAGCAAAAAGCACAGAAATAGATCCAATACCGAAATTCTAAAATTAGCATAACTGTTCATGGTCATGGGATGTAGTGATGTGGATGCTTTGCCTGCGTGTATGTCTGTGTACCATTTATGGGCCTGGTGCCCAGGGAGGCTGGAGCGGGAGTTATAGATATGTGTGAGCTACCATGTGGGTGCTGGGAATCAAACCTGGGTCCTCAGAAAGAGCAGCCAGTGCTCTTAACCCCTGAGACATCTCTCCAACCACAGTGCCCCGCCCCCAAAATTTACTGCCAGTCAAAGTTCCCTCCAGTACAACTATACTCCTTGTGTCTTTCGATGCCTTCCAGCCTCTAGGAAGCACTGTTCCACCATCCATGTGGTCAGCTTGTTAATATATGACACCATAGTGTTTCAACAGAGTAAAAAGCCATACGAGTTGCCATAGAAACCAGGTGGTGCATGCCTTTAATCCGGTCGTGCACACCTTTAATCCCAGCCCTAGAGAGGATTATAGAATGGGAGGCAGCAACTCTCTCTGAGATTCTTGGAGGCAGGATCGCCATTTCAGACTGAGGTAGAGGTGAGAGGTGAGAGGCTGGCTGTTTTGTTTTTAGAACCTTCAAGTTGAACCCAATTTCTGAGTTTTTATTAATCATGCTTCAAAAATGTCTACATGTGCTCAGTACGCAGGCTTTTGTTTTAAAATCATTGCAATAGGGTGCTTGGTTGGATGTGCAGACATGGAGCTCACAGTGGGATCACATCTCTAATGGTTTCCGCGGTGAGCGCGCTAGGACTCACTCCGTGGAAGCACCAAAGGCTCCTGACAGAGACGGGTTGAGGGCCAATCTGTGTGCACTTGTGGGCAGAGGAGAGCCAGGAAGCCAGGAAGACACAGAGGGAAGGGCCCAGGAGAGCTGAGGACAGCAGACAGCAAGGGTAGGAAGGAGCCAGGGAGAAAGGGAAAGTGGTGGGGATTCATTCATATATGTGAGGTCACACCAAGGTCATTTTCAGGACACCAAGAACCTGCTGTTTTAGTCCTTGGTTGGGTGGGGGAGAGGGGTACTTCCCTTCTGCATCCTTCTGTGCCTTGGTACCCAGTGCCCTGTGCAGGTCAGCCACAGCTTAGCCACTGTTGGGGGAAAACACATATCCTGAGACTTTACTCCTCTCTGTTCCTGGTTGGCTGGCTGGTTTCCCAGCACTGGGGACCAAACCCTAGGGCCTTGCACATCCTAGACTCCAGTAAGCTGCATCCCCAGAATCTCCTTTATTATTATCATTTAATGTGTATGGCTGGATTGCCTGTGTGTGTGTGTGTGTGTGTGTGTGTGTGTATCAGATCCCCTGGAACTGGAGTTACAGACAGTTGTGAGCCACGTGGGTGCTGGGAGTGGAACCCAAGTCCCCTGGAAGAGCAGCCTGTGTTCCTCATCACTGAGCCATCTCTTCAGCTCCCCAAGTCCCCTTCTATTGAGTCAGGGTCTTACTATGTTGCCCAAGTTGGCCTTGAATTTATAATCCTCCCGCCTCAGCCTCCTAAGTAATCCAGGCTAGAGGACTGTACTTCTGGCCCCATCCCCTGTTTCGGAGAGAAACTGGCCACTCGAGAGTTGTTGGTGTTGTGAGATGTCAGCTTAACTAAAATCACATGCAGAACTAACAAGGCGCAGTGGCCTTCCACAGGTTTCCATAAAGATACTGGGAAATGTCCTCCCTGGCCGGTCAGAAATTCCATGGAAGGAGCTCAACTACCTGATTGCAGAAGTGACCTATGGTGGCCACATCACTGATAAATGGGACAAGCGATGCCTGAAGACCCTCTTCAACAAGTTCTGCAGCCCTGAAGTGCTGAAGGCTAACTTCAGTTTCTCCAGCGATGAGGTAAGAAGCGAGTGTATCGTCTTAATTATGCCTCACCAGGCTTGGCTGCGTCCTTTCTGTCCTCAACCAAACGTTACTTGAAACCCTTACCATTCAGAACCAAACTAACTTCCCATTGGTCTATTTGTTTGTTTATGTTTTTGTGTTTTTTTGAAACAGGGTTTGTCTGTGTAGCTCTGGTTGTCCTGGAACTCATTCTGTAGACCAGGCTGGCCTGGAACTCAGAGATCCGCCTGCCTCTGCCTCAGTGCTGGGATTAAAGGTGTGTGCCACCCCCCCCAACTTGCCATTATCCTATTAAATGCCAATGAATAAAAAGAATGGTGAGGAAATCGTGTGTGCCCTCTGAGGACCTCGAGGGCTATACACAAAGCACAAGGAGGCCGGAGCAAGCAGTGCGTACAGACCACAGCGTCCACGCCAGTCAACGTGCATGTGTTTCCCATGGGTTGCCAAAGCTTCCATTTGCCCAGCCTGCAGTCAGGGACTCTGAGGTTGAGGTCCACGGGGTGGAGCTCACACAGCACCAGTATGAGGCAAAGCTGGCGTGCAGGAGCTCCGTCTCCCACAAACATCCGAGGTAGAAAGCTCCAGATCTCACTGTTTACTCCCGTCACCCCCTTAGTGTTTGCCCTCCTTGTGGGCAGAGTGCCAGGCTAGACCCCGGCAGTTGTGCTCTGTGGAATGTTTGCTACCGAGGGAACAACTCTGTGACCTCTGACCCGCAGGGAGGGAAGTGTGGAGTGGTAAGTGGACAACAGGAGAGGAGAGGGATGAGGCTCTGCACCAGACCTGGGCCTGGTGTCATGGAGAGGGGTAGAGGTCAGACCCAGATCGTCTTCCTAGCGTCTTGGAAATACAGCGATGAAGGAAGTAATATCTGAGGGAAACTCTTTGGTAAAGCACCATGCCATTACATATTGGAAGCACGCAATCTGATTTTGATTTTATAGGGGATTATAGTTAAGAGATTACATGAATCACAGAAGAGACTTTAAACTTTGGACTCTTAAACATTGTTGAGACTTCAGGGACTTTTGAAGTTGGACTAAATGTGTTTTACATTATGGATACTGTTACAACAACGCTTTTGGGGGTCAGGAGGTGGAATGTGATAGCTTGATTATAACTGACCCTGATAAGCTCACAGGGAGTGGCACTATTGGGTGAAGTGGCCTTGATGAAGGAAGTGTCACTGTGGGATAGGCTTTGAGGTCTCTTTTGCTTAAGCTTTTGCTCAGTGTCACAGTCCACTTCCTGTTGCCTTCTGATCAAGATGTAGCCAGCACCATGTCTGCCTGCACACTAACATGCTTCCTCAGATATCACTTCCTTCATCGCTGTATTTCCAAGACGCTAGGAAGACGACCTGGGTCTGACCTCTACCCCTCTCGATGACACCAGGCCCAGGTCTGGTGCAGAGCCACCATGATGATAATGGACTGAACCTCTGAACTGTAAGCGAGCCACCCTAATGAAATGTTTTCCTTTATAAGAGTTGCCATGGTCACGGTGTCTCTTCACAGCAATGGAAACTGTAAGACAATCCTCAAGTCAGTCCCTAATATAAAATTATCCTTGAAAACCTTTAAAAATTGCTCAGTAACGATAGTATGCTCGGCTTCTGGATTTTTTTCTTTTTTTTTTTTTTTTTTTTTGGTTTTTTTCGAGACAGGGTTTCTCTGTGGTTTTGGAGCCTGTCCTGGAACTAGCTTCTGGTAGACTAGGTTGGCCTCGAACCCACAGAGATCCGCCTGTCTCTGCCTCCCAAGTGCTGGAATTACAGGCGTGCACCACCACCGCCCGGCTTATGCTCGGCTTTTGTATGTGGACTTGCACTGAGTGAGTGTAAGTGAACAGGAGATAAATTATTTTATCTATATATAGTTTGTTTATATATGTAGTTATATATATATATATATATAGAGAGAGAGAGAGAGATTGTTTTTCATTGCAACATACCATGCTAACAAAAATGTATTTCTGAAATTTTACATTTCAATTGTTTTAAAACCCTGAAACTTTTATGACCATTCCAGCTTGCCAATCCTTCCTATGCACTGTAATAATCTTAGTTCCTTTCGCTAATAATATCTTTATCAGTGACTTTGTTCTCTAGTGTGTCCTGTGTCCTTCACCAGGTCTTCAGTGAAAGCTGCTACCACCAGCCTCCTGACCATATTAAATAATATGTTTCTCTTCCTGGTCACTGATCATTCATTCTTAATATCTGTATTAGACAGATGTCTATAATTTGACAAATGCCTAAAATGACAAAAACCAGCTGTGCTGCTTTGGGCCTGTTTCAGTACAGGACATCATGACAGGAGACAAAGATGGGCAGAGTAGTCATCCCAGTGTCTCCTCCAGTGACACACAGCGCTCTAACCTCCTCCCTACTTAGCAGGCAAGGCTAATCTCCCTTCTAATACGCAAGGCCTTGGCCTCCTTCACATGGCTTCTACAGGTCGCACTAAAGGCCCTGTGCTTCGTTACCTGTGGGCATGTCTCATCAAGGCAATAGAACTCCTTAGTCCTTAAACCACCTCCCCCTTCCCAACAAGAAAGTTACATGTGAGTGTTTGCAATGGAGTGGCCCCAGGTATTGCTTTTAATAGACACCCTGTACCATATAGAAATAAGAGCCTTTGCCGGGTGGTGGTGGCGCACACCTTTAATCCCAGCACTCGGGAGGCAGAGATAGGCGGATCTCTGTGAGTTCGAGACCAGCCTGGTCTACAAGAGCTAGTTCCAGGACAGGCTCCAAAACCACAGAGAAACCCTGTCTCAAAAAACCAAAAAAAAAAAAAAAAAATAGGAGCCTTTGACACAGAAGGTCGTGGGGAGTTACTGCCTCCATGCATTGGCTGGAGGAGATTCTTATTCATGTAACACTAACAAAGTCCCTCACCTTTCAGGGGTACCAGCCAGTGCCCAGCTCTGCAAGCTTACAGGACTGCATACACATTATCCAGTCCTTGCCTGATGACGACTCTCCTGAAATCTTGGGGATACACCCCGAAGCCACACACACCTGCAGTGAAATCAAGTGTCAGAAGTTCATTGAAAATCTCATCACCATGCAGCCAAAAGCTGCTCCTGTCAACCTCATGATCAAGTAAGAGGACACGGGGAAATGCCAGCTAAAGTCTTGATAAACAAGTATGACTTGCATGATATAGAAAACTCCATGTTGTTTCCTCTGCACACCCACTCACCTGCACTCATGTGTGCGTGCACACACACACACACACACACACACACATACGCACCAAGCATACAGTAGTTAATAAATATTCATTGGATGGGTGACTGAAATGGACCCGGTGAGTTGTCTTCTAAGTGAATTTGGTTTGGGTTTTTTTTGTTTGTTTGTTTGTTTGTTTGTTCTGGTTTGAGTTTGGTCTTTCAAGACAAGTTTCCCTGTGTAGCCCTGACTGGAACTCACTTTGGAGACCAGACCAGCCTCAAAATCAGATCAGCCTGTCTCTGCATCCTGAATGTTGAGATTAAAGGTGTGTGCCACAACACCCAGCTGTAAATGAATTTATTTAAATGTGAAGCGTGCACATTTGCTTCTCAGGAGGAACAGACAGCCCCCACAGTGACAGACGGGGCTGTGAGCTCAAGCGAAACTCCCTATACTTGGAGGCCCATGTGAATAACAGCTTTACTTGCTGTGTTCAGTGTCACGCCGCTCCGGTGTCCTTACCTGTAAAGTGGGTAAAAATACCCGTCTGCCCTTTGAGGCTGCTGTAAGGTCTAAAAGGTGTCATACATGTACCCCAAATTCAAGCCCCCTCCCCTCGAAACTATAAAATCAAGTGTGTCCATGCTAGACTGCGTCTGGAGCCCTCAAAGGGGAGGTCCACTCTCCACTATTAGACATCGCCAGGCGCTGTCCTCCAGGGAGCTTAAGGACTAGACAATGGTGTGCTCACTTTTTCCTCCAACTTCCTCACCAGACCTGTGCTCAAATCCTCACTCTGTCGTGTTACTTTGTGAATAAGGGGAAGCCAATCGCTGCTCTGCCAAGGCCCCTCATCTCTGAATCAAGACAGTGATGTTGGCTACTTCATGGGGTCTCCCTGGGAGTCCACAGATTTCCCTCCTTGGTTTTAGTTTTTCAATTTCTAGGTTTGGCATATCTTAACAACCACCATTCAAGGCCTTTCAATAGTGTTGCGTCCCATTTGGAGACTTGATCAAACGTTTCAAATAGATAAATATTTGTTATAAAGCTGGAACCCTTCTGTTGTCTGTCTGCCAGGACTTCTCAAGGCCACCAGTCATTTTCATAAATCTAATAATCATATATATATGTATATATATATACATATATATACATATAATCTTAAATTCATTTGTTCTCTTATTTATATAAATTTAGCAGGATTTCAGTTTAAATTGTCTCTCTGGTCTCTCTTTTTTTTAAATGGAGGCATAAGCTTCACCTCTCCAGTTCTCGTGACTATCACAGAAGTTCATGAGCTGGGAAGTTGGCTCAGTTTACCAAGGGTTGCTATGCAAGCACAAGGGCCTGTGTTCAGATTCCCAGGCCCCACAGAAAAGCCAGGCACATATCCATCACCCAAGTGCTAGGAAATGGAGAGTGGGTCCTGGAGCTTGCTGGCTAGATAGCCTTGCCCGGATGCTGAGGCGGAGAGATTCCTGAGATAAAAGCCATCTCAACATCAGCCTTTCACCTCCACATGTCTATACAAGCAAACTCACCTGCACACACACACACGTACACACACACTCACATATGTTGTAGAATAACCTGTTGACAGAGGTTTCTGTCCTGCCCAGTCTTGCAGCCATTCAGTCCCAAAGAAATACACAGAGGTCTACATTAATTATAAACCGTTTGGCCTATTAGCTCAGACTTATTAACTCCTACATCTTACATTAGCCCATAATTCTCGTTTGTGTTAGCCACATGGCTTGGTACCTTTCATCAGCAAGGCCTTTTTATCTTTTCATCTTGCTTCCTCTGCATCTGGGTGACGACTGCAAACTGAACCTTTCTTCTTCCCAGAATTCTCCTGTTCTGGTCTCCCCACCTATTCTTCCTGCCTGGCTACTGCCTGGCCAATCAGCATTTTATTAAATTAATACAAGTGACAAGTCTTTTTTTTTTTTAATATTTATTTATTTAGTATACAATGTTCTGTCTGTATGCCTACAGACCAGAAGAGGGCGCCAGATCTCATTACAGATGGTTGTGAGCCACCATGTGGTTGCTGGGAATTGAACTCAGGACCTTTGGAAGAACAGGCAATGCTCTTAACCACTGAGCCATCTCTCCAGCCCCAAGTGACAAGTCTTTACATAGTACAAGACCATAGTACAAGTCCCACAGCAATAACCATTTTGTACACTGTGAACATCTGTCACTGGGACAAGTTTCATAAAAAGCTGAACAGCAAATAGCTAGGCAGGATAGAGAGGGTAGAAAGGATGCTGGGAAGAAGAAGGGCAGAGATACAGAGTCGCCAGTCAGAGAGGAAGCAGGGGAGCAGTATGGGCAGTGCAGAGTAAAGGTCATCAAGCCATGAGGCAGAAAGTCAATGACTAGAAATGGGTTATTTTAAGTTGTAGGAGCTAGTTAGAAACAAGCCTAAACTATTGGCCAAATTTTCATAATTAATAATAAGTCTCCATGTGGTTATTTGGGAGCTGGCAGGCAGAACAGAAAAATCTGCCTACACACACACACACACACACACACACACACACACCATATTCTAGATAATAACATTTCCTTAGCACAAAAGAAAAATCTTTTCTATAATTTTTCCCATGGAATTACTTCTTGCTGGAAACATGAGTAGGACACTCAAAACTCTGTAACTGTCGGGACAATTGCTCCACAAGTCTATGCAAGGTGGCCCCATTACCCACATTCCTGGATGCCAACTACATATTCTCTAATGCCGAGAGACGGAGTTTACAATTTTTGGCTGTTAAAATACATATTTTTCCATGTGCCTCCAAACCAGTTGGAATTCTATATTCCATTATAGTCTTATTATCTCTTTGGATTAAGACTTAGTCAGATGACATCAGAATGTTTCCTGGCTTTGGCACATGGGTTTTGCTATTTGATCCATCATCCAATCTTGTTTACTAACAACATATAGACATAGTTCCAAGTGCCACTTCACTAGAAGTGAGTGTATACCATCTGCTTCATAGCGGAAAACTGCACCTATGGAGAAGGATATATACCCAAGAGAAACTATCCAGATGTTCCCAGAGCAGCAGGTGGAATGTCATGTAGACGCCACACTTCTGATGACACCCGTCATGCTAGTAGCAATCCCCAATGCACCAACAGAAGATGGCATGATTGTAATGGAATTGTGCACCCTTTCCTGGGGAGGGGTAAACAAATGTCTGTGCCTCAGACAGGGCACTGACAACACACCACAGAAACAATTTCTCCCAAATCTAGCTTAATCAGTGGGCTCACTGAAGTTATGGGTTACAGGCTACTTATTGGAGCATAGATGAATCAAAAACATCTCTGTCACCAAAAAGTCCACCCTAGCATAGGTGGCAACTCCTAAAAACTTGCAGGCTGCTTGTCTCTTCAGTCTCTCCCACCCAACAAGAGCTTATTCTGATAAACCTTGTAGGGAGCCTTGTGAATCTTCTAAGTTTCAGGAAGTTCCTGTGACTTGTGACTTACTTACTCCCTGGGCCTTCTAAAGTTTAGTTCATTTCCTCGGTATGAAGGAATCTTTCTCTAGAAAGGAGTGTTCAATTTGAAAGAAATAGTTATATAATAGGAATACATCTAATGAGCATCTTAAACATGCTTCATAGTGTCTCCTCACGTAGATAAAGAGGCCATAAGTCCTCCAATCATGTTGTTCAAACATGGAAACTCCTTTGTCTGTGAGACGACACTGGGAGACCTGTCACATTCAATATAATTGAGATTTGTTGACTTTTGAAATTACTTGAAGCTACCTTGGATAGCTGCTGAGAAATCAAAGCAAAAGTCAAAAGAATGGCATAGAAAATCCATGTCCTCTGTGACTTGCAAGGTAGCCCAGAAGCAGCGCTACTGAGCTAGCAGGCCATGTGGTGTCAGGTTATCAGCTGCTTTCAAAGATGGCATTCGGTGTTAGGTGAAAACCTGGCCCATCCTGGTGAGCAAAAGGAGCCCACTTTCTGCCGTCTGCCCTGTGCTCATTCATTTCTGACCCTGCCTTCTCATCTTCTGAAGGATTTCAAAGCATCCCTCTGTTGCAGCGGAGGGCCCACTGTTTGTCCCGGCCGCTTGGCTAACTTACACCTGAAATAAAAGAAACTGTATTAATTAAAATACTGCTTGGCCATTAGCTCTAACTTTTTATAGGCTAGCTCTTACATCTTAATTTAGCCCATTTTTATTAATCTATGTATTGCGACGTGGCTGTGGCTTACCAGAGATTTTAACCAACGTCCATATCCGGTGGAGGATCTTTGGCTTTTCTGACTCTGCTCTTCTTCCTCCCAGCAATTTAGTTTTGTTTTTTCTGCCTACCTAAGCTCCGCCCTATCAACTAGGCCAAGGCAGTTTCTTTATTCATTAACCAACGAAAGCAACACACAAACAGAAGGACCTCCTACACCATCCCTCCAGCCAGGTGGCTCCCACAGTCTCCCCACCCCCATGCCACATTCATCACTGCTCCTGTCACACCCAGAGCTCATGGGTCATGGGTAAGCACAGAGGAAAGTGACAAACTGACCCATGAGAACCCATGAGCTTCTGGGCCTGCCACGTCCTCCTCCTCGTTCAGTCTAGGCATATGCCTGTCTGGAGATGGAGTCTGGTTAAAATAAAGAGTTTTAGAAACAAATCCACATTTCCTCATGAACATGTAAGTTACAGGACAGTTCTCCCCTCTGCAAAGTGGGGTGAATTCCAGTCTCTGGGGTTCAGGTTCACAGCTATGGGTCCTCCCAGGCAATGGGTCTGTGCCTCATTCTTCACCTGACTCCTGTGCAGTCCCGAGCAGAGCAATGATGACCTGGTGATGGAGATCCTATCTGACATCCTGGTTCAGCTGCCCCTGACAGTGGAGAACGAGGAAGCCTCAGGGCCTGAGAGTCAGAGCACATTCAAGTTCATCTTGTCAAGTTCAATGTGGGAGAAACTTCAGAACAGTGTTGAAGGTGAGTGGTGGCTCTGGGCTCCTCCTGCTGCAGCCTCATCAGCAAAGACTCTGACCCTGGAGGAAGGTCGAGGGTCTCCCCAGAGGGGAGGTGGCACAGAGAGGAGAACAGGGCTGCAGAGTGAGGGAAGAGGAAATGCGGAGGTACCAAGACCAAAAGTGAAGGAGCAGCCATCACAGCAGACACAGCATAGAGCTCTGCTGGGGCCGCTGCCCACTGCCACTCCACTGCTGCTCTCCCTACCCCCGGGCTCCAGGTAGACTTAGGACAGTGGGATTTAGAAAGGTGCAGTCAGTCTAGCTCTGAGGAGATGTTAAATACCTGGACTGGGAGAATTTTCCAAGTTAAACTTTAACATCCATATTTCCTTTCTTTTATTTTTATTTTTGTTTGTATGTTGGTGGGGTGTGCACTTGAGAACAGGAGCCCGAGAGGACAAAAGTTTCCGATTCTTTGGAGCTGGAGTTGTGCCCAGTTGTTAGCCATGACATGGGTGCTGGAAATCAAATTCAGGTCCTCTGCAAGAGCAAAGAGCTCTTAACCACTGAGCCATCTCTCCAGTCCTATAGTCTCTTTCCAAAACTCATTTGGAGTCAAATGCTGAACAACAGCTTCCCAAAATGCACAGTGATGGCAAAGTCAGTGACAGCACACTGACCCTGGCACAGCGGGGAAACCCTAGGGTGCATCTCTCAGAAAGCTAAATCTAGTCTTCTCTTCTGCCTGCAAGTTTAAAATATATATATGTGTGTGTACACATATGTAGATAGATATATAGAAATATAGATATATATTAAAAAGAGGGTCTCACTAAGGAGCCCTGGCTGGTCTGGAACTCAGAGATCTGCCTGACTGCTTCATGAGAGCCAGAACTACAGATGTGCGCCACCACATCCAGCTGTTTTTACAGGATTCCTGTGGTTTAACACATCCAAGGGAGAGCATATACTTTGTGACACATAAATACTGCAGGAATTTCAAACTTGAGTGCTCATACCTAAAGCTTTCTTTGGTTTATTTGAGACAGAGTCTCACTATGTAGCTCTAGCTATCCTGGAACCCACTCTGTACACCAGGCTGGCCTTGAACTCGCATAAATCTGGTCTCCTGACACAGCTGGTCAGGATTTGCATGTTAGGTGTGATGACACTTGGTATGAGTCATAACAGGCAGGAAGGTTGATTAAAAACACTAAAATATTTGCTATCTACATGCCTCTAGAAAATGTCTACCAAGCCGGGCGGTGGTGGCGCACACCTTTAATCCCAGCACTCAGAGGCAGAGGCAGGCGGATCTCTGTGAGTTCGAGACCAGCCTGGTCTACAAGAGCTAGTTCCAGGACAGGCTCCAAAACCACAAAGAAACCCTGTCTCGAAAAACAAAAAAAAAAAAGAAAAAAAATGTCTACCAACCATGGTCAAAATACATGGGCTTCCTCCAACACCCGTGTCCTTCTTTCCCTATAAACAACACATTTTCCTTTTTTTTTTTTTAAATTCAGGCTATGATCCCCTCATCCACTGCATCCTGATAACCTTTCTGAGCCAAGAAATAGAGCGTTTCAATAAGTTATTATCTGTCATACATAAATCCTTAAAGGATCTTCAACTTGCCATAAAAGGAGAGAGCATCCTCACTCAGGATCTGGAGGAGATCTACGACTCTTTCCTTAGAGTCAAGGTGCCCAAGCTGTGGCAGGTAAGCGGCCAGGGTGCCCAGCCTGTGGCAGGTGAGCAGCCAGGGTGCCCAGGCTATGGGAAGTAGGCAGCCAGGGTGCCCTGGCTGTGGCAGGTAAGCGGCCAGGGTGTCCAGGCTGTGGGAAGTAGGCGGCCAGGGTGCCCAGGCTGTGGCAGGTAAGCGGCCAGGGTGTCCAGGCTGTGGGAAGTAGGCGGCCAGGGTTGTCCAGGCTATGGGAAGTAGGCGGCCAGGGTGCCCAGCCTGTGGGAAGTAGGCGGCCAGGGTGCCCAGCCTGTGGGAAGTAGGCGGCCAGGGTGCCCAGCCTATGGGAAGTAGGCGGTCAGGGTGCCCAGCCTGTGGGAAGTAGGCGGCCAGGGTGCCCAGCCTATGGGAAGTAGGCGGTCAGGGTGCCCAGCCTGTGGCAGGTAAGCGGCCATGCTTCTTGCCTCTAGCCTGAGAGAAATGTCAGCGCTCCACAATGACCAAGTTAACTGACATGAAGAAATGATGTGTGACGGTTGTGCTGATGCACTTTGGGTCAGGTGTGAGTGAATACAGCCAGCTAGAAGGCAGTGTGGCAGTTCTGCCCAAATTTATCTTCGAGGTATTTGCCACAAAGCTGTAACAGCCTGGCTATCTATGAATGGGAATCTGGTTCCATGAACGAAGGTCTGAGCACAGGATGAGACGTGTGCACAGGTCACAAGGACCTCCACAAGGTCTTGGTAAAGTGTTGAAAGTGTTAGAATACGGAGGCATATGTTTGCTTGGGAAACACGCATGTGTCTTAGTTTCAAGAATCACAGAAATTTGTAGAAGGCAAGGCAGATCTCAGTTAGCTCGAGCGGTGTCTTCACGGGCCGTGTGGAGGAAGGCATTGGTTTTAGCCCTAGGTTTTGTAGCAATCGGTCTGCTCTTCTGTCTTGTCTTACTCACGTTTTCAGTCACTATAAAACTTCAAATGTCTGCAAAGGCTGTAAGCTTCATATCCTTAGGGAACACGAAAGTATTACAAATGGCTGCCACCAACACAAAAGTGCTGACAGATGCTACATGGGTGGACCCTGAAAATTGAGGCTCTCCTACACTCTGTAAGGAGGTAATCTCAAAACGCCCCACAGTGTGTAACTCATAGAAACGAGACGTCCATAACAGACAAACCCCACAGAGTGGCTGCCTCCAGCTGCAGGGAACAGAAAACTAAGCGGCACAGGCAAAAAGACCAGGGTTTGTTTGGTTGGTTTTTACTGAGGTGACTGCCGTATTATTGAATGTGCGCCTCAGATAGGAACGTATGGACATATGGTTGATGTGAATTACAGGGCGATACAGTACTTCCAAAAAAAGTATGCAGAAAAAATAGAGGTTAAAGCCATCAGCAACAACAAACACTTTAAAAATTGAATAGTGGACAGTTGAAATGTGACATCTGTAGATTTCATACAGGTAGCCTGGCAGGAGCTGATAGGATTTCTGGGCTCCTGGGCTCAGTGGCCTTGACAGCTATGGATTGGAAGGGCCCAGGGGCTTCATGACTGACCGAGAAAGACAGCTAGGAGAAAGCTGGTCTCATTGGTGCCAGTGCCTTGAGAGCTGGGGCACAGCTGCAGAAGGCTGCGTGGCTGCATGCTGATTGACTCAGCTACCTGGGGATGTCAGCTCGGACAAGCAAGAAAGGGGGAAATGGGAGGTGCGTGGAGCCAGGGGAGCTCTTCAGAGAGGCTTCATGTAGTCAGCCTGGAAGAAACAGTGGGGCCACCAGGAGTGAGGGTGGAGAGAAGAAAGGGCTGGAAGGGCCCAGGCAACAGCTGTCACCTCAGAGAGCAGAGCCAGTGGGTGGGATCTGAGAGGAAGTCGGCAGGGGGCTGGGTGCCCTGGGCTGGGGTGAGATGAATAGGCAGGGACCACTGATTTCTAATAAGGACAGATGAGGGGATGAGGCCATGATCTCCAGCCAGACACCTACTGTCAAGAGAAGATGGAGGAGGCTGAGAACTACAACTCCACTCCCTTCACCCTTGACGTTCGAGGGCTTGTTGTGAACGGAATTAGAGACTGGACAGTGGAGGCTGCAAGCAGAAGGGAACACTGTAGTCAGGAGGCTGGGCCAGCTCTTCTGGGCTGAAGGAAAGGACCGCCCAGTAGGTGATGCTTTGTAACCAGGCAGCCTGGGAAGTCCAAGTGGCTAAAACCCCATGATCATAGACAATGTCCAGAGAAGGGAGAAGAGGGGGAGAGGTGAAGGTTGAAGGGTACTAAACTCCCATGACCACGCCAGGCCCTTCCAGTTAAGGTCATGTGATTTCCTTGATAGTCATTTTCAGACATCGCTGGGTTTTCTGCTAGAAAATGGCATCTCCTGCCAAGGTGTTTCTCCCTGACAGAAATGTGCCTAGTGACCTCTAGACAAGATTTACAGAAATGACGCGCCTCTCCCTCACTCTGCAGAAGAACGCCTACAGGTCCTGCAAGCCCCTGAGCTTCTGGGTGAACGACCTCATCCAGCGGGTGAACTTCTTCAATACCTGGGCCAAAGTGGCCTACGCTGCCATCCACCACCGGTAAGAGCAAGAGCCAAAACTGCTTCCCGTCCCTTCCCTGCTTCGGTGGAGCTCAGCAGTTCCCCTTACTATACTCCCTCAGCCTCTTGGGGTTCTTTTTTCTCACCGTTTCCTTTTGGGGTCTCATGCTGAGAGCTGGAAATATCCAATATTTTGTCTTCCTGCTATTCCATACCATTTCTAGAAAACGGACCAGGGAGACTGCGGAATACTGTGTAAAAAACGTAGTTGTGTCTCCCTGACCCCGTTCTCATGGTGGCCCTGTGATGGGAGATGGTGCTGACCTTGTCTCCATGCTGGTTCAGAAAGGAGTAAGCCACAGCAAGGCAATGATTTACCAAAGTGTCCCGGCTAGAACACAGAGGCATTGTCATGCAAACTCAGTTCTCTGTCTAGCCTGTGCCAGCTGTCTCCTGTGTCCCATGGCACATGAGTGTCAGCCATGGGCAAAGTCTGCAACTCAGCAACAAGTGCTAAGATTCCTCAAGGCCCAGTGAGGCATTTCCACAATCTACCCCTCCTTTCCCCTAAGAGGCCTCAAACTGTGCCCAGTGCCCATCAAAGTATCAAACAGAGGTTGATGTAGGCTGGGGTGAGTAGTGAGAGCCGCATCCTGGAGGGCTGGAGGCAGATGCCAGGCCACTTTGGGGGGGCGGCTACTGACTATGCCCTCAGCTGCCCTGCCTCTGGTGTCTCACCAGGTATATGACATTTGTCACGACCTGGAAACAGTCAACATCAGCCAACCAGAAATTCAGACATCCCACTGACTCTGCTAGCCATTTCGTCGAAGGCTTCCCTGCAAGATACTGGCTCCCCGCTTTCTTCTCTCCACATGGTGAGTGCTAGTACCCAGGACACACCAGCATCTGGCTCCACCACTGGGCCTGAAGACAGCACCAGCACCCGCCCCTGTGGGACCTGAGCCCGTTCTGCCCCCACCTCCTCTCCTTATCCATCTTCCACACACCCAAGGCCCCACTGGGCCTTTCTCATCCCTAAGTCACGGGTTCTATGATATCAAAAATGTAGAACTAAGGCTCCTCCCTAAGGCCTACACAAGAGGAAATATTACACCTCGGACACTCATTTATTAACAGGAATTGATGGCAAGATGTCTGCTGTACCCTACCTGTTCAGCACTAATAGCGGGAAAGGTAGGCACCAAGTGGGCTAAGTCACAGCAGTAGGGAGCCAAGACCCATGGGGGTCTGGAAAGAAGCCACTGCAGATGAGCTCCGCCAGAACAGGAACAGGGAGGTTGGGTTTTTCTGTTTTCTGTTGCATCCCTAGTACCTAATTTGTCCAACACCAGCAAAGCTAGCTGCCAGTCAATACTTGAAGAATGAATGACTTTCCTCATGAGCCTGAGCTAACCAACACTTAGTACAGAGAACAGGGAGACTATAATTGATGGCCAGAGACGGTCTCTGAGCAAAGGGCTTCTAACTAAGTATCAATGAAGTGGGCCAGGAGAGAAAGAACAACATTCACACGGTGCTACAGGCTGCCAGCCCTGTTCTGTTCATACAGGGTTTCCTTGGTGGTCTTTGAGAGTTGTTGCTGTAATTATCTGTATGTCCAGCTAGGGAAAACATGGCACAGAGAAGTTAAGCAACTTGCCTGCAGACCTGGCACTGACATGGTGTTTCACAACCTCGACTCTAAAGGCACCAAGCACACACGTGGTACACAGACATAGATGAAAGCAAAACATTCGCATATAAAATGAAAAGTCTAACAGGAAAAAAAGATTTTAAAAAGGGGGAAAAGGAAAAAAATTTGCCCAAAGTCGTACAACTAAAAGTAGTGTTGAGGACTCTGAGGGAACCATCCAGGTGACCAGATTTTGAACTTAGCCTGACTTAAGAGTTCAACCGAGGACAGACACAGACAGCAAACATGGGGGGAAGCTAGAGAGATGACTGCAGGGGAGGCAGCAGGGAATTGTTGCAGTGGAGAGTCGGGGGGTTCACAGACACCCACTGTGACAGGAAAGGGGTGATTGGTAGGTCAGAAAGGTTCACTCTTGGTCTCGACCACAGAGAAATCCTTCCTCCAGTCAAAAGCTGACCATCGCTGTGGCAGGGGGTCATGGAACAGGAGAGAAGAGACAGATAAAAGGAAATGAGGAAGCCGGGCGGTGGTGGCGCACGCCTTTAATCCCAGCACTTGGGAGGCAGAGGCAGGTGGATCTCTGTGAGTTCGAAACCAGCCTGGTCTACAAGAGCTAGTTCCAGGACAGGCTCCAAAACCACAGAGAAACCCTGTCTCGAAAAAAAAAAAAAAAAAAAAAAAAAGAAATGAGGAGGCAGAAGCATCTAGCCTCCCTGTGTGAGACGATGGGCAAGGAACAGGCAGAGCTCAGTAGGATTCAAGGCCGCCCCGGCTTGGAAAGCTGAGGTCACTGAAATGGGGACACAAGGAGAGGCCCACAGACCCCATGAAAGCCAAGGTCACTGAAATGGGACACAAGGAGAGGCCCACAGACCCCACGAGAGAAATCGTCCTCTGTCCGTACCCTCCCTCTATGCTACATGGGACAAAATTGCAACAGGCAGATCAGCAAGCCCAGAATAACTTCCTCTTCCCCTGCTTGTCAGTATGACAAGGTCTGAGGAAGTCTGGCGCCCTGGGTCACATACTAACCCGTCTATGACCTATCTATCTCTGCTACCAAGAGTACATACGATACAATCATCAGTCCAGGTGAAATCAGAAAAGGCTCAGGTCCCAGCACTAGAAACACAAAGGGAACAGGGAGCTGGACTACAGAAACAGCCCAGGTGTGCAGGCCTGAAAGTATGGTAGCTGGTCCCTCCTATCCTCCATCTCACCCCATAGTGTGTGACACTATTCCTTAGGGAACCAACTAAAATAAGGGTGCCATCAAAGTCCATCTCAGTGAAGTAGGATTACTTCCAGAAGGACTCAAAGACTGCTGCATCACCAAGGCCACCCCAGCTCACAAAAGCTGGAACCCTGGAGCCAACTGGAAAACCAGCAGGCAGCTCAGCAAGCTGCAGTCTTTCCCAGGAAGTCCAGCATGCCCCAGAGCATCTCTCAGCAGTCCTTGAGGAGGGAAGGACCTGGTGTGAAACTGGTCAGTTTCAGAAACATCCTGAAGCTTTTGGATTGTTTACTTGCTGAGTTTTATGGAGCTTCCCTGTGGGATGCAATGTTTCACCTCTCTTGAGAACATTCTGCATCTTTCCAAGCTTCCCCCTAAGAGTGAATGTTTTATCTAGGAATAAACCAATACACAGCCTCCCATTACCCCTCCTTCCTGTCTCCTCCTCCATCTCCACGTGGCAGCCATGGTGCCCACCCCACAGGAAACCAGAGTCTTACCAGAAACTTTGGCACTGTTTTTCTTCACAGCCTTTCTTACTGCTGTGCTTCAAGACTATGGAAGGGCCCAGGGAATCTCCATGGACATGCTGACTTTCTCTCACAAAGTGATTCATAGAACCAGCACTATGCAGGAGGATGAATTTTCTAAACTGCTCCAGAAGAGGCTCAACATAGTCAGGAGAGCCTTCCAGGTACTGGGTGCCGAGGTGACTAGAAAGGGTACAGTCTCCATTTTATGACTAAAGGTATGGCTTGGTTAGGCATTCAGCTCAAATTTTAGTGTTCACAGTGCCGTAGGTTCTTCGTGGTTTTGAATCCTCATGTCTACATGAGGTTTTTGTGCCAACACCATGCTGTCTTTCTCACCATAGCTATGTAGAATAGTTTGAGTTAATGTTATATATCAAGCTATGTTCTTTCTGCTTAGAACTGCTTTAGCTATCTGTGATCTTTAGTATTTCCACACAAATTTTAGATTTTTTTTTCTAGTTCTGTGAAGATTATCATTGGCATTTTGGTAGAAATTGTATTGAATCGGAATACAACTTCTTTTGTGATGCAGCCATTTCACACACTGTCAGTACAGGAGCATAGTCTTCCCATCATCTGATGGCTTCAATTTTTTTTCAACATCTTAAAATTTTCCTAATAGAAGTCTTTTACCTCCATCGTTATGTTCATTCCTAGATTCTTTATGTCTTCAGTTACTGTAAATAGGATATTTTTCCTGATATCTTTATCAGCAAGTTCAGTTTTTGTTAATCCTTTTTTTTTTTTTTTTTTTTTTTTTGATTTTTCGAGACAGGGTTTCTCCGTAGCTTTTGGTTCCTGTCCTGGAACTAGCTCTTGTAGACCAGGCTGGCCTCGAACTCACAGAGATCCGCCTGCCTCTGCCTCCCGAGCCTTTAATCCCAGCAAGTTCAGTTTTTATGTATATAAAACCTACTAATTTGGGTGGGGGATTGGTTTTGTGGTTTTTGTTTGTTTTTTTGAGCAGGGTCTCAATATGTAGCTCTAGCTGTAGCAGAACTCAAACTCTAAACACCAGGCTGGCCTGGACTCAGAGATCCGCCTGCCTCTGCCTCTGCCTCCTGAGTGCTGGGATTAAAGGTGTGCGCCACCACACTAAAAATTACTGATGGATTTTCTAAATTTTTACTTTGTTTCCTGCTACTCTATTGAAAGCGTTTTGCTGAAGTCCATCGGGTCTTTCAAGAATGAAACAATTTTATCTGCCAGAAGGAATGGTATCCTGGTTAGTTTTTTGTCAGCTCGACACAAGGTCAAATTATCTGAAAAGAACCCTCAATGGAGAAAATGCCTCCATCGGGTTACTTGCGGGCAAGTCTATAGGGCATTGTTTTGACTAAGGAATGCTGTGTATGTTCCAGCTCCTGGGGGAAGTGCTACCCCCCTGGGCAGATGATCCTGGTTTATAAGAAGGGCTGAGCAAGCCTTGGGGTGCAGGCCAGGAAACAGTATTATTCCATGGCCTCTACTTCAGTTCCTGCCTCCAGGTTCCCTACCCTACTTGAGCTATCTTGGCTTCCTTCAGTGGACCGTGACCCGAGATATTTAAGCTAAATAAATCCTTTTTCTCCCTACGTTGCTTTTGGCCACGGTCTTTAACACAGCAACAGAGATCTGTCTAAGAAAGTTTTACTTCCTTCCTGATTTGTCTCCTTTACACCTTTTTCTTGTATTCTTTTATGATGGTTATGAGCCACGTGGTTGCTGGGAATTGAACTAACAACCTCTGGAAGAGCAGCCAGTGCTCTTAACCACTGAGCCATCTCTCCAGCCCTTTCTTGTATTCTTGAACACTCTATTCAGTATGAGTGAAGATGAACTCTTGTGCTGTTTTACATCTCTAGCATACTGTCACTATAAGCTGTAGATCACCTTTATTATAAGGAGGAAGGCTCTGTCTTTCCCTAGTTAGCTCAGGATCTTTATCATGAAGGTATGTGGAATTTCTAAACACTTTTTCTGCCTTCTGTTGAGATGATCGTGTGATTTATCTTTACATTTATTACTTACATTTGTATTGATTTGTATGTTATTGTGTAACATCTTATTCTTTTGGTTTTTTGAGAGGCCCGCCACCCAGCTCCCAAATCACACACAGAGGCCTATTCTTAGTCATGAATGATTGGCCTTAGCTTGTTTCTTGCCAGCTTTTCTTAAATTATCCTGTCTACCTTTTGCCTCTGGGCTTTAATCTTTCTCTATATCTATATACCTTTCCTTCCTTCCTTCCTTCCTTCCTTCCTTCCTCCCTCCCTCCCTCCCTCTTTCTCCATGACTGGCTGGGTGGCTAGGCCCTGATGTCCTCCTCTCCTTGTTCTCCTGTTCCTCTTTCTCCTTCCAGATTTTTCCTTCTATTTACACTCTCTGCCTGCTAGCCCCGCCTACCCTCACTCCTGCTTTGCTACTTGCCATCAGGTGTTTCTGACAAGCAAAGAATTACAGCTTCACCGTTAATCAGGTGCAGCATAAACACCCTGAAAATAATATTCCCACCAGTATGTCAAACCAACCTTGCATCCCTGGGGTGAACCAGCTTGGCTGTGATGTATGATCTTAATGCGGTCTTAAAATCAGTTTCCATGTGTTTTGTGAAGCTTTCTTGTATATGTTCATTTGGGAGAATAATCTGCCGGTTTCTTGTCTTTATTCCAGTTCAGGACCAGCCTTCTGCTGGCTCCACATAAAGAGCTTGGTAATGTTCTTCCCCTCTCTGTTTCATGGAGGCTAACAAGTATCAGAATCAGGTCTTCTTCAAAGCTGGAAGATTTAGCCGCATATCACTTCTCCAGCCTTAACTGTTACTTTGCACTGAGACTTTTATTTATTTATTTATTTATTTATTTATTTATTTATTTATTTATTTTGGTTTTTCGAGACAGGGTTTCTCTGTGGCTTTGGAGCCTGTCCTGGAACTAGCTCTGTAGACCAGTGCACTGAGACTTTTAATCAATGCTTTTTTTCCCTCCTGGTTTGCTATGGATAAATTTAGAGTGATATATTCTAGCTTTAATTTCTGTAGATCATAGGCGCTTAGAAATTTATCCATTTTGTCTAGATTTTCTGATTTGTTGGGAGTCTTTAAATTTTCAAAGCATTCCCTAATAATCTGGCTTCCATTTGTTAAAATCAACGACAGAGTGTGTTGTTGATTTTATTAATTCGCACCTTCTGTTTCTCTTGGTTAATTTGACTAGTGTTTGGTCAATCTTGTTGAATCTTTCAAAGAACCAGCTGTTGTCTGGTTAATGTTGTGTGTTGGTCTTTGCATCTCATTCACCCTGCTCTGGTTTGTATCATTTGTTGCCATCTGTGGACTTGGGTTTGGCTGCTCCTTGCTTTTCCAGAGCTTGGAGGTTATTTATTTAAAATCTGTTTTTTTAATCTAAATACAAGGAGCTGCAAGACTCTCCTGTAAGGACTACTGCCTTCATTGTACCCTAAAGGTTCTTTCTGGTGGGCTATGTTCTCATTTCCATTTCATTCTAGGAATTCTTTAATTTCTCCCTGGATTTCTTCAATGACCTAGTTTGGTGACTGTCCTGGCTAAATCTTGAAATTTTCCAATTTTCTTGTGCATGTTTTGAATTAAGTTCCATTTGTTTCTTTGGGGACCTTGGCATTTCAGTGCTTCAACTATTTTCCAGGATCGAGAGGCTGTCTGCTTCTAGGGTGCCGGGGTAGAGTGTCTCTCAGTCTGTAGGGTGCTGGGTGGAGTGTCACTCAGTCTGTGGGGTGCCGGGGTAGAGTGTCAGTTTGTTTCTGGGGTGCCAGTGGAGTGTCACTCAGTGTTTCTGGGGTGCTGGGTGGAGTGTCACTCAGTCTGTTTGTGGGGTGCTGGGGTAGTGTCACTCAGTCTGTGGGTGCCGGGGTAGAGTGTCACTCAGTCTGTTTGTGGGGTGCTGGATGGAGTGTCACTCAGTCTGTGGGGTGCTGGATGGAGTGTCACTCAGTCTGTGGGGTGCTGGGTGGAGTGTCACTCAGTCTGTGGGGTGCTGGGTGGAGTGTCACTCACGCATTGTTGTGCTGTACATAGCCTCTGATTTGTAATGCTCCTCTTTTTCCTACTCTTTTTGTTCAATCTTTGTGAATTTTCATGATGGGTTCCCTTCACTTGAGTTTATGTTCAGGGGGAAGGTTGGCTGCAGAAACAGATGGTTTGATACAAGTTAGCTGCAGAAGGTGACACCCAGGAAGGTTTGAAAAGAGGAGTCCCAGAGTCCTGGCTAGGGAAAATGTCTATTTAATAGTAAAGTAAAAGAGAGTGAGGTACACACAGAAGATAGACAAGGAATGAAAAGGGTCAGCCCACAGGCCAGACGTCGAAAAGATACTGTAGATTTGAGAAGGGGACAGATGTTAGATGTTAAGTGGAAAGTATGTAAGAAGGTCCTTGCTTCTTTCTGCTTTACCCCAAGAACCACCATTGGTTTAGGTGAAGTAAGAGAGCTTCCATTTACTTTTAAATGGCTCTTTGCAGAGTTCCTTACAAACCGTGTTCTTCAGAGAAAAGCCCTATGCATCTTAGCCACATTAGCTGTGGAGGCTCACAACTGTGAGCCCAGAATTTGGGAAGTGAAAGCAAGAGGATCAGCAGTTCAAGGCTACCCTCAATTACAGAGCAAATCCCAGGCAAGCCTGGGCTACACGAGACCCTGTCTCAAAAGAATACCAAGGCCAAATCATGGGATTATAACTGGAATCATGTTATCAAATATACAGATTAACATCTCCCATGATTTATAAGACACTAGAACAAGTTCACCAGGTGAAACTTGTCATTTACCTAAATGGTACGGGGAAAAAGAATAAAAAGCATTGTACAATTCCCAAGAAGACTTTTATAGGATAAGTGAAAATACAAATTATTTCTTGGTATTTAGCTTGTACCTCCAGAAAACAGAATCTAAAAGAGGTCCCTGAGCACACTGTGGCCTGTCTACACAGCAGTTCCATGCCAATGAGCTGGCCCAGATCAGCAGTGCTCCTCTTGTCTCTGGACTCAGCACACTGGCCAGAGAAGCAGACAGGCTCCTGAGCAGCGCCTGCTCATCTTTCCTGCCCTCTGCCCAGGCCAGCAGCAGCACGACACATGTGCCATCAGAGCTACTGGCAATTTTCTTTCCTAATTTATACTCCAAGCTAAAGACTTATTTTTTTCTGTATCAATAATATGCTATAGAATTGTTTCCAACCTTTTCTCAATTCCCTTGCTACCTAAGGGAGCCCCATGAGAAAGACAGGTAGGTTTGAGCACAACTTACCGACTCCTTTCATAGTTAGTTGCTTTTTCCCCTCTAAGAAACCTTAGAAATTTGGAGTCTGGTTTCACCTCAGCATTCAGGGCAACATGAGGCTGGTATGTACTTCACGGAGCTGGGGCGGGAGAGGGGGAGGTTGAGGCTCATGGCATCTGAAAGAAGCAACCTGACCCTTTTCTCTCATCAGGCCCAAGACCACTCTCCCAATGGAGTGTGTATTTTTGGTTTATTCATTGAGGGGGCACGGTGGGATCCTGAACAGGAAGTGCTAGAAGACTCACTACCCGCTGACTTACGCTGTGAATTTCCTGACATCCACTTTTTGCCAACAAAGGTAATCCCCTAACTTGATAAATTTCTGAACTCCTGTGAAAAGACTGGCTATCGGCACAGACCAAGTTCTCAGCACAAAGATTTATTTGCCCCAAACGAACAGAGGGCAGGGAATAAAAGACAAAGACAGGAGATAGAGGATGAGGGAGAAAGGGAAAGGGGACAGGAGTTTTTGTCCCAGAGGGATAAAGGACTGCCTCTGGATAGAGAGGAGACATGACATAGGAAAATGGCAGTTTATAAAGGTACAAGGGGGTTAGGATGGGGTAATTTTAATTGGGAATGTTAATTAGGACACATGAAGGGGGGGGCTTTTGATTGCTGGACTTCAATACTTTGATAGCTGAGCCTTGGCAGTCAGCCTCAGGAGATGGAGTGGCTAAATAATCAAGTAGACCTTGGTGGCTCGCTTTAGGAATGTAATCCAGTGGGCTTTAGCAAGGGAGAGGGAACAGGGGAAGGCCAAGGCCTGCCAGAGCCTTACTCAAGTCATGCTCAGTCTATGAGAGTCCCTTTAAATTAAGAATGCACTTTGACAGAACAGCACAATACCGTAACAGGTCTACAACATGCTGAACTAATGTCCAGTGTCACCTCAGGGACGTCCTAACGAAAGGGACATCCTAACAAAAGCTATCGCGCTATCTCTATTTTAACTTCTCTAGATGCCATCTCAACCTGCAACTGCACTACCATCAATTAGCACAAAGACCATATGTAATTCCTAACTAATACCTACTCTCAGAAATGTGATCTGTCCGTTCTCTTAATGTGATGTGACCAGGACTCTTTCTTTTTAGATTGAAGCATCCCAAGCTTCTCACTACACAGACTCAGAACGCCACACTTTTGAATGTCCAGTTTTCCAAACACCTGAGAGGTCAAGAAACACTACTGATTCGCCAACAAACTTACTAACATCCGTGCATTTACCAACGAAGAAGCCTCCCAGTCACTGGATCACCATGCAGGTTGCACTGCTGTGTGAAAAGAATGAATGAAATAAATATCCATACCAAACAGTTTGTTTGGGCTCTAACCCAATACATCAAGATACTCACCTGTGGGGAAGAGCCCAGTAACATCAGCACAGCACATGTGTGGGAGTTTTCATGAGGTAAACAGTATCTGTGCTGGCTTTCAAAGAACACCGGGGCTTCTGCTATGAATATATATTTGCTTCCAAGGGTTACAAAACCCACAATAGTTTTCAGGCACTTGGTGCTCTTAAACAGCAAAAACTAAAAATGACCAGTTTTTGAGAATTGGGACTTCTGCCCCTACTCCTAAACTCTCAGATTCCAACATATTTGTTGGGATTTATTTTTTGAGACAAGATCTCAGTCTAGCCCAGGACAGCCTCAAACTCATGGTGATCCTTACTCAACCGCCTGGACTGCTGTGATTATAGGAACGAACCACTGAAGGCGTAAGTCATAAACAATGCCACACCAGTTTGGAATTATGATTAATAGGGTGGTATTTATTTAAAGGGGAAAAAACTTACAGATCACCGTCAGCCCTCTGCGCAACCAGGAAGGGAGTCTAGTCGCCGGCGGAGCAGGAAGTGAAGAGAGAGAGGAGAGGGAAGTGGCCGCTTTTTTAAAGGGAGAGAGACCACGCCCCAATGGGCTGGTATCTCAGCGGCGATAGGCTGGAGGAGTGGGAGGACCTCCTGTAACAAACCACCACTGGCTCAAGCTCCAGTTTTGCTATAAACCTGATGAGTCCCTGGGTTCTTACAGCTCAGACCCAAGCAAATGATCCAAGAGAAAAAAAAAAAAGGCTATGGTTGCAAAGCACGGGCTCCTGTGTAACCCCAGAGCTGCAGGCAAAAAGAATGAGGCTCCAGAGTGATCAAAACAACTCTTTATTTTCAACTGAAGTTTTATTACAAAGCTTATCAAACATCAAATTAAAAACAACTTGCACCTGATACCCAGACACTGGCGCACTACCCTATCTCAGATTCTTCTCACAAGACAAGAACCCGTCTTTCATCTTACTCCAAATTCCCTTGTAAGTTCAGCACATATGTGACAATACCAGGAGAAAAGCAAAATAGAAAAACACCTGCTTGAAGACCTAAGTACTAGCAAAACAATGGCAATTTCATAAAAATAGTCTAAAAATTACAGAATGCAGAGTGTCCCTTCATGATCACGGTAATATAAACTATACACTCTAAGCTGGAGAGCAGAATGAACACTTTGCATCTGGCTCATATGTGATGTGTAATCAAAACAAATCAACACACTATAATTACATTCTTCTGTTTAAGATTGAGGACAATGTAACTGTCAATATAAAACTCTAGAATTTGCCACTTGTCCTGCTCAGGACAGTCACTATGAACAAATCAGCTTTACTAGAGTCCAATGGCTTCAACCAGCTTATTACAGCTATCAAATTGAAACAGAACAAGTTTAAACTAACTTCTTAAAGTTGTTTCAAGAAAAACCTTTTAGAGAGTTCTGAAGACAAAGGATACAAAAATAGTACAAACTATTAGTTAAACAGTAGCAAAAACACTGTTGAATTTTTAAGTCAAAAACATATAAAAATAGTAGCCTGAAATGGCAATTTTTCCAACACCAATGCATGTAAAAATATTTAAATAGTGCTGTTACTCCAAAAATATACTTTTTTTTTCTATTTGCAACAGTTTATAAAGGCAAACACACCTGCAAATTGAGGTAGCAAAGCCAAATTCACAAACTTTGGATAAAGAAAAATAACTTTCCTATATTTTAACTTTAAATGAACTCTAATTGCTTTACACTTTTAAATTCACATACTTTACAAAACTTAATTTAAAAACACTGAAAATGTTTTTGTTTAAAACTACTTAGTTTCTGATATCTCACATTCAAAAACTGTACAGAAAAAAATCACAAGTCACCATATATTACATAAGTAAGCTATGTATTTACATTTCCAAATGCACTCTTAAAGGCTGGTCAAGCCACTGTTATGATCTCCTTCCTCTTCACATACAACACCAATACTGGGCTGGGGTTTGCCTGACATATAGAGACAATTCTCAATGTTTCTTTTAAGTATGGGTTTTCACTTAAGAAAAACCAAATGGCAAAAACAAAAATTGAAAAATACAAAAATAAGACTTCAGATTTTTAGGGATTAAAACTTTCCTATTAACAAGCAAACTCTACCACCTCTGTACTTCCCCTTACGTTAACTGCTATATAACTATATTAAAAGAGCTACTATTTGGCTCTATAGTCCTGACTCAGAAAAACACTTAGAGATCCTTTCAGTGCAACAACAGCTAGTTCATCTGGACTTCCTCCTGGTCTCTGAGAGGCGTCTGACTCGCGGGGGCACCGAGCGCGGGTCAGTAAACATAGGGCAGGATGCGGTAGGGCACGCGCTGGCAGTACTTCTCCCAGGCCAGGCCATACTTCCTCTTACACTGGTGCTCATCCCGGGCTTCGCGGTGGACGAGCAACACGGTGAAGTAGATGACATAGAAGTAAGGCAGGAGGTGGTTAAACCCTGTAGGCGACAACAGCAGCCACTGGATTTATTATTTCCACCCTGTGATTTTTCCTGGTTTCCCTCAAATGCCAGAAGAACTCGTTTTCTGAATCAAGGTATACCAAATCACAAACTAAATGTTCCATACTGTCTTCTTAGGAAAGCCAACTCAAAACATTCCCAATACCCTCAGGAGCTAGACAGCAACTGATAGACACCAAGAAAACAGACCCTGAAGCAGGCAGGAACTCTCATCCCACCACAGCAGCCAGACATGCTCCAACCAATGACGTAAGGTGATCAAGTTAGCACTGAGATGCTTACCACATGGGAGGGACCAGGCCAGAGCCATGATGAGATCACCCAAGTAATTGGGATGACGAACAAAGCCCCACCATCCTGAAACAAGCAGACTCTTCCCTGTGGAAGTATGGATGGTCTTTAAATCTATAGAAAAACAAAAACCTCCTTTAATGACCTCTAAAATGTGAGGCAAAGAAACCTACACATAACAAATCTATAAATACAAATCGACAAATTTAAAGAAATCCTTACGTGCGAGCTTTGGATCAGTGGGATTCTTCCGGAATGCATTTTTCTGAGAGTTTGCACAACGGAAGATTATATAGCCACAAACTGAAATTTTAAAATAGTTTCCTGTTAGTAATTTAGGTGTAATCCAGCATTTAAAATCTGCAATTTCTCTTAGAAACTTGTTTCTGAGCCCTAAAGAAATGTCCAGAGTAAAAATAGTCTGACTTCTTGAAACAACTGAATAAACACACCCAGTCCCCAAATGCCAGTGAACTCTTCTGAAATCTCACTCATCATAGCCGGCCAGCCATGCCCACAAAGAACAGGGTCTGAGACAGCAACAGAGGACACTGACTTGTCTGCTGTCTACAAGATGTGCAGTCACAACACAGTTACTTCCTCGGTAAAATACTAGCACTCTGGTAGATTTATTCACATTTCAACAGACCCTGACATGGCACCACTATTTGATATGAATAACAAATACCAAATCTCCACTTGAGTGTCTCTGTAAGACGCAAACTCTTTTGATTAACTCACAAGTGCCACTGACAGGACTAATCAATGGAGAAACTAAATCTTCATGTTAACCAGGTGCTTGAATTTCCTCTTCCATCACAGATACTCAAGTGCCCTAAAACTATTTCACGAATATAGTTTCTATATTCAAGCTAATGTTCCCGTCCACCTCTAGTAGAGATTTTGAATGATCACAAAGAACTAAAGGAAAACCACCTGAACTGGTAGACTTCACAGCAGCCAAGCTGGGCCTCTCCCTCTGTCCTGCCCACCGCTTACCTGTGCTGACTTGGCTCCTTGCCTGTCTCCCATCCTTATTTACCCACTGAGCATCAAATCCCACATCCTCCAGTATGTACAAGCTGATATTCCCCAGAACTGGCTCCCTTTCCACTTACTGCTTCTGCCATACATGCCCCTTAGTACAGTGTGTGCTCACCTCAGGCCACAGATCTATTACTGTTTCTATAGTAAGACTGAAAGTTGTATGAAGACCAATTTCATTTTTAAGATCTCTAGAAAATGCAGGCTTTTGAAAGCAAAGAAAATTCTTTTCCTAAGCAATACAATCTATTTCAACTGCTTAAACGTAAAAGTAAAGTGTGCTACCGAGAGAACTAGTGGAGCTAGCATGTCTTTGATCCTCTTTGTAAACTTCAGAATGTTCTCAGTACTTATAAATTATTTCAAAGCTGTGATCAAGTACAATGGAGTGTGACGGACAACAACCAGAAACAGCAGACACAGTGCCTTGGACTGAACAGAGCTAGCACTCACGTTTCAGAGCAATGATGATGGAAGCCAATGGCCAGGACAAGTCATAGGGATGGCTGACAAGATAGAAGGCCTGAAGGCTGTAGGTGAATGGGACCCACACTAAGTCCCCAAAGGCCAACATGAAGCCAAAGCCATCGTGGATGATGTCCATGGTAGTCAGCAATGCTTCCTAAAATGACAGATGGGAAGAAATAAAAGCCACCTTGAGTTTAAAGGATTTAAAGTACTAATTTATGACCAAGCATGTTAAGTGAAGGTACATCAAAGTGTTAAAAGGCAGGAGTTCAGCTGCTCTGGCCTAAGTCACCATGTCTCACCTATCTTGCCGCCTCCTCACCCTAAACTGCAATAACAGACCCCAACCCCTCTCAGGCTTCTGCCGCCTTTGCCCTTGACCCCCCTGATCTCACTTTCCTGCAGCAGCCTCAGTCCCGTCCCCGGGCAGTGGTTCTGCCCCTGCGCCTGGCCAGTTCTTCTCAGATGCTACCATCTGTATTCTAGAAAGCCGCTCACACTCTGATTGTCCACTTACACTCTCCACTGCCAAATGTACATGCCACAGTGCCCAGAGCAAGAAGTAATGGGTTCAAAAAGTGTGTGTGGAAAAGCAGTACAATCACATCGGGATCATCTCAACTCTCCTATACATTGTCCACAGAAGCAGTAAGCTGGC